CTATTTAGAATTATTTTCATACTAAGAGATATTAAATTTATTGCAAAATAAGTATAATCAATTCGGAGTTGGAGTCGGCCTCATAAAGACCTAGGCTCGTCGCGAGATATCCACTCAATCAGAAAACAGCAAATCACTTTATAAACACTTCCAAACATTATCTTGAATTGTATGCAACCGGGACATTTTGCTAATGTTAAGTTAGGTTAAGTTAGATGGCTCAGCTAAAAGGATCGTACTATATGTAGTCCTCTGCAAAGCTTAGGAAAGAAAAACTGCTGTATTCGAACTTATAAATTAGCAAAACGCTTAGAGGCACAGACGTTTAATTTTCATGCCCGCCAGTTCGGTGGGATGTCTAAAGGTATGCGTTCCCAAATGTTTGAGCCTTGACCTCCCAAACGCAGCACAGTCAAGAAGAAAGAGTTGATGTGTTTCCACCTTGCCTTCATCCATAATGAGGAAGCCATCCAGTAAAATTCCTAGCCTTACAGAACAGTTACAAACTCTCCCAACTAGGAAGATGCTAGCCTTAGTGAGGGCAAAGAGATCACTAGATCTTGCTCCAAAAGGATTTTGCGACAGCTTATATACTTATGGTAGATTAGTGCTGGCCAAGCTCTTGCGTAGCTCTACTATCAAGTAGTCAAACAAAAGAGAACACGGGACCACCGATCCGCTCATATTCTACTGATAGGTATCAATGCTTCCGTTTACTTATCTCATCCGTTTATGCCAATTCTCGATGACTGCAGTATTAAGGCTGAAAGTTGCCTTCGAGCTCCTCGAGCATTGCTGGTTGGTTGGCGTAAACTTTTAACTTAACCTACTCCTAGAGAAAATAGTTTGGAGGCGTTAATCGCTTAAAATGGAGATCGTTTGTATCGAGTTCCGGCAAATGTGGTTTATCATAGTGTTATAACGGTCGCTATTGATAGTAATAGCATTTTTTGCCTCACTTCGAAAGAAATAAGGCCCGATGATGCCGCTAATCAACAAAGGGTAAAGTTTTGGAAATGCTATTGTGTTTCTTCAATCACACTAGGATTTGACTCATCCTAACAGCAACAATTTAGTTTTTCAACTAAGCCATTAAGCCAGCAATGAGCTTCATCTTAGAAAATGATTATTCAATGAAAATCGCCGTAAGCATCTATCATTTTCAGTGGAAAATGGTAAAGATGCTGCTTATTTAATGGTCTGTTGACATACGTACTTGTGCCAACACAAACTTGTATGGATTAAGAGCCAATGAAATCATAAAATTGGCCTTGTTGTCATGGGAGAGATACTCAACTTCGCAAAACGACGTTGAATCGTCTGATTCTCTTTTTTAACGGGAACTTGACACACTATCACATGGACTATAATCATTTTCGAATTTTGCAATTATTATTCTTTGAGTAGCGAGCTCAGAAAGATGATTTAACAGTAGCCTCCTTAAAACGTCAATTTCCGTAATAAACAATTTCAAAACGTTGTACCAAGAGGAAACGTGACATGATGAAATCCAAACCGTACAAAACACAATGTCAAAATTTAACACAAATTCATAAAACGCATAGCTGTCATGGGCTGTCAAATCACGTCACCTCTATTGGAACACGATATATGTGTGATTCGTCAGAATGGTTTTGACGACTTGAGTGGTTTGTCTGTCTGATTATCTGCATGTACGCAAACTAATCTAAAACACACTTTCTTTATTTCCCATGAGGCTGCTCATTCGTCGTAACTGCCGATAAGGTACCTCTATATGTTGTGCTATATCTACCATACCAACTGATCGATCAAAGCCAACTCTTTGTATGAAAAACTCTTGAATTTGGTGAGTTATCTTCGCGAAATTTGCATGAAGTTCTTTTCCAATGCAGCGCAATAATTGCCGAATATTTCGTTCATATCAGACTACTTGGCATATAACTGCCATATAAACTGCTCGATCAAAGCTAAGACTTTATATGGAAATTTTTTCCTTGTAAGAATTTATCTTCACGCAGTTTTGCAAACATTATTGTACCAATCAATGCTACAATTCCCGAACATATTGTGCAGAGCGGTTCGTTATAGCATATGAATAAATGCACCTAAGAAGGTTTGTTTAGCAACAATTTTAACTTCAAATATTGTTAAAACTCTCTTAGTTTTATGGAAACACTACAATCTTGATTTGTGTAGTGAATTATTACAGAAAACTTCATTTTAATTATATTTCTAACCAAACAAAACTCACCATAAATTTATCGCTCAATATTGACACGACATCAGTTAGCCGTGGGAAATGTTTACAACCAGCTGCTCAGCTTCCGCTGACAACAAAAAACAAAAACAATTGTGAAGCGTTCATTTTATATCCCTTAGCGCTTGCTGCGTTGTGTGAAATTTAATTCATTTTATATATTTGTTATTTACAACTTAGCACACGCGGACGATAATTACAAAAACATAAACATACGCACTCAGGCATACTAATACATGTTAAAGCTTTTAAATCACTTTTTTGCTGGAGTCACTGGTAATCGCAATCCACAATGTTGCATTTATGTAATTGTGGCATGCCACAAGTCCATTTAACGCTTGCTTACAAAGCACTTTGTTGTTGCTATTGTTAATTTTATTTCATTGTGTATTTGCCATTCGCCTGTTGGTTGTTCAGTTGTTGTTTGTTTTGCGCCGGCGAACCCATCTACACTTTTTTCTGTTACTTGTAGCATGCAACGTGCTTGGCATACCGGCCCCAACTATATAATGTGTATGTGTGCATTCATGTAATATCTAACTAAGCCGCTGGCTTCGGATCAGCCCTTTGTCGGCACATCGTTTTGTCCCATTTGCTGTTGTCATTAGTTTTTATTAGTGAAACGTTGTTGTCCGAACACACTTGTGTCATTTGCGTGCCTGGCATTGTCCTCTATACTGTGGTATACACATGCCTCCCTACACAAACACACACACCAACACCTTTGTGAAAATATTGTATTATTTGTTGGTGTTGTTTTTGTTGTTGAATCCTTTGTTTGACACCGCTCGTGTTGACAACACTTAGTCATTATACAATAACTGACATTAGCACTTTATAATTCATAATTGCTAAAGTTTGCAAATAACGTGACAACACGCGCAACGCACGCACGCACACACACACACACCCAAGCGATTGTTTACAAACACATAGAGACCACCATTGTTTAAACAAATGTGCTTGTAAAGGCATAATCTCTTTAATGCGTTGCCCCCTGTGGTCGTAAAATTATGCAAAATGCTAAGTCATTTCTGCATTTGCCGCTCACGAATGGGTGATTTGGTTTCGAAAGTTATGGGCGTTGGTGACGGAATAAAAATTATTATAATCATCAGCAGGAGAAATGGGAAAGAGGTTGTGAAAAATAACTTGCATGTATTTGTTCGATTATTGCTCTGTATGGCAACAAGAAGCCGCAACCGCTTATTAAAGAAAATATATAAATATGTATATAACATTGAGGAAAAAAATTATGTAGACTTTTTCGCCATTGAACATTTCTCATTTTGGTTAATGCTTAATAACTTACAATTCTCAAGATAACATGTTAAAAATTATCCGAATTTCTGAAAACAGAAGTGACTCAATTGGATGATCTAAAAAAATGATTTTTTTTCATAAGCAGAATCCTGCTCATCGATTTATACCACCTCCTTGTAGATTTTAAAGCTGCTTTTAACAGCACTGAATGGAGCTGCCTTTTGGCCGTTATGTCTAAATTTGTTATCCCAGCAAAACTAATACGGCTGTGTAAACTGATGTTGAGCAATACCAAAAGCTCCGTTAGGATCAAGAAGCACTCCTCCGACTCGTTCGATACCATACGAGGTTTCAAACAAAGCGACTTCCTTTCGTGCAACTTCTATATTCTACTCCTGAAGAAAATAATTCAAGTTGCAGAGCTTAATTGAAAAGGTACATTCTCCTATAAGAGTGTACAGCAGCTGGATAAAGAAACGAATTAGCATTAACATCAACAACAACGTCAGCCTCAAAATCCAATGCTGAATAACTCACGCAAACAGGTGCTCCTTCGAACTGGATAGGCAATTGAGAAGTAAGTCTTGACATTTCTGAAGTACTCAGTATGTTTTGACATACAAGAATTAAAACGTGAACATTTTTCGGCGTTTTTTTACAACTTTTGACGTATATTAATCTCATCAACAGTGCACCGATGAACTTGATTATACTTTCTGCGATGAAGTCCTATCATGGACCAGTGTTTATCGATAGTATGGTGAATATAATTGAGACCATATATTATTTCTTATTAAATTTGTTTACTTCGGTTTTCATATAATTTGTCGATAGCGCAAAAAGAGGATAGTGCTTAATGATCGAGAAACTTTTTTTAATTCCTCTGTCTTTTTTTTTTTGAAATTGTTCTTCCAGCCGCAACCAAACTACCAAACAAACGCCGAACAATAATTTTAGAGTGGTACACAACCATTTGTTTTCAAGCTCTCTCTCACTCTTTTCCAAGATAATGCGAGTTCTCACACATCGACTGAAACAACTGAGCACTGGTATCATTGATGAGTTGATGTGATGAGAAAAAAAAAAAAAAAACCTAATAGGTCAATATTTCTCGACACTAAAAGAGATGTTTTCTAGATACCTCCAGCAGTTAGAGTTAGAACGATCGCGTCGGAAATAAACTAAGGTAAAAAGTAAAAATTTTATTAGAACATATTCTAACTTCTCAGAGCCCATGTATGACTAACCACAGGTGTTATAGTCTATTGAAAGAACATTTTTGTAATCATCCGATTTTCAACGCTGTCTTATGTATAGCTAATTATTAGTTCGGCCTAAATGTGTAAAGTAATGTTAATACGTCGGATCTTCACTCTTTTCTAGACATACTCGTACTTATTTAGCTAAATATTTATGCATATATAAAGTTTTAATATTTCCATTAATTAAATAAACGTTTATTTAACCATTATTTAACATTTCGAAATATGTTTTTCAGGTTCCCTTGAGGGCGCCTCAAAACGCTTTTTCACCGATTTTCTACAAGACATGCCAACACCCGGCACTGGCGGCCCCACATTCGATACAACCGTACCGACGAATATAACAGGACTGGTCGGCAAAACGGTGAAACTAACTTGTCGAGTGAAGAATTTAGGAAATCGAACTGTAAGTATAATTAAATATTTATACACGTACATAACAATTGTAACTTTGTACACATTAGTTGAATGTCTCTGTTTGTTTTTCATATATTATGCAAAGAAATTTTTCTATTCAGACCTCAAAAATGATGTCTAATGCAGCTTCTGTTTAATTTTTTCTTGGTTTAATTGAATTTAATGACATAATTTTATTGCACTACAGAAATTCTATCAAGCTTATTACTAGTTAAAAAAGTATCTATGATGAAGTTGTTTTCGGGAACTCTGTCGTTGAGAAATACACATCATTTAATAATGGTTCAAATTTTTTAACATAGTTATTCCTTTCTGGTCGTCTATTGACTGCAACGAAAAAACGTTGGAGTGGGTGAAGTTCTACGCCAAATTTACTTCCTTAGACACCTGAAGTCAAGTCAATGTCACAGTGAGATACTAGTACTTGACATAAACAACAGTCATCGTTCAATTAGCTTATTTTCAAAACATCCCTCCTTTTGAATAGTTATTGTTGGTGGTACAAGGGCCAAACAATAGAATTAAGACCATAAACGAAGATTGAATTGTACGAGGCGAACCCCTCAGCTGTTAACATATCAAATGTTTTAAGTCTCCGCGATATTTCGTATTAGGCTAAAGACTTCACTTTAAGCTATGAAGGGTTATGTACGGGTGGAACCAAACCTTTCATACTCTTGCAATTTGCCAGAACCAGGTAAATGCCTAAAGGTGTAAAGGGTAAATCAGAGGATCGGAGTCCAGGCACTTTTATATATACTAATGTTATCAAATTGAAAGATGAATTTTTAATTTATACTTCGCGTGTTTTTCTTCCGATCATCAACATTTACAAAACAAACTGTACTACGAACATAATCTCGGACATCTTTTCTCCATTTTAAATGGAAAAACTTGAGAGAATTGAACTTGGTCAGAATATATTACTTGTAAATATATTACAATAAAGTGGAGTAGTGAAAGCAGCTTCTCCAAATATATATACACCTAAGCACTGTTTAATAGTACTCAACAGTTAATAACTGGAGAAAATAGTTATTGCTCTGAGAAATATTTACCAACGTACAATATCCTCATCTTAAGGCACTCCCCAATAACTATAGAAAATAAATCTAAAAAGTCTGTTTCTCTGCAGGTTTCACCTTTAATATATTTTATGCATATTTAAGTTTAACTGCAGATAATAAACTGTATCCTTTACAAACTACCACAAAACATTTTATATCAATAGCGCTTTAAAATTGCTGCCGGACTCTATCTACAACTAAAAATACAAATATGTATTTGCCACCGATTTTCACTTCGCCAACTTCCGCTCCAATGTACTACATTGTTGTGGGTAGGGAAAACTTGCTTAATTACTTAATTGCCGAGCACACAAGAAACGAGACAAAAAACTATAAAGTGTGAAAGAACAACAACAACTAGAAAGTATTGCCGCCATTATAAACTATCCAGCAAATAACAACAACAAAATCAACTAGGAAGCTGGGTAAACAAAAGCACTCAACGTATGGCAGTGAGCGGGTTAGCAAGTAGCGGAATTAGGCAGTTGGGAGCGGATTACATTGCTTATTATTAAAAGTAAGTTTTTTTTGCTTACAACAAACACTAAAAGCATAGTAAAACATCGTACAGCTGGTGATTAAACAGAAAACTATCAGTGTTGGAGATTCTGCCGAAAACTTCGGCAACTCGGCGTGAGCGCGCGACCGAAGTGTTTTGCGGAACTTTGCTTTGTAACGGATATGCGGATGTACGGCAACAAAATCGGCGCCATTACGCAGCGGGAATCACTTTTGTCGCAGCCTCTAGTTTGACTGCAGTGTTGGCCTGCTTTTCGCGCCCCTGCATTGTGAAGCATAACTGCGACTAGAGTTTTGACAGCACACCCGCCCCACACCGAAGGCGTGTCGGAATGCGCCCCCAATTGTCTACACTATACTACACAGCTTTCGCACTGTTGACAGGCGAAAACACTTTGGTGAAAGTTTTAATTTCATGCGTAAATTGTTTGCGCTTTTTCCTGTTGCCGCCGCCACTGCCACCGCCGTCGCTGCTGCTACTACTGACACAAACAATGTAATAGTTAAATATGTTCTTCGTTGCTGCAGCAGAGGCCGTGTTTTTGTTGCTTTTATGCGGGATAATGCAAAGAGCGAAAAACTGTCAAAGCGTCGACGCGGCGTGCCAGCTACTTTCAGCGCACAAATATAGATTTAGGTGGTATGTGTCTGTGTTCTATATGCCAAAGTGTTGCTTTGCGTGATTTCTGCGTTTATTGTTGCAATTTGCTTAATTTTGTTGAAAATGCAGAGCAAACAAATATTTTCGGCGCGTTTTTCACTTCCTACTTTTAATTCTTTTCGCTGCTGTCATCGTTTTTGCTAAGCCGATACAGTCGGGCTTTCGGTAGCAAGTTAATTTGTTGGTTCCTCAATTTGTGTGTGCGCGTTTGTGTTGTTGTCTTTTGCATTTTGCAGCGCCATTCGAAATTAATTAACTGTAGGAATTTTTGAGTGCACAAAACCCGATTCCGACTTTTTCGCTTTTTACTCGCAAAAAAATCAACGATTTTCAAAAACGAAAAAGGCTTCCGACCGTTCTGGGTCTGGGGGTGGGGTTAAGCCACGCGCTTAACTAGTAAAGTTGTGGGACGTACACAATGTGCGAATAGGCGACTAGTGAGTGCAAAGTAGTTATTTGGGTCACCCTTATTTTGCGCCCCCTCTCACCCTGCGCTACATGTCTATGTATGTGTGTGTGTGTGTGTGTGAGCGTTGTGTGCTGGAAATGGGTTTTTTGTGCTTGTGCACGCAATTATGTGAAAGTGAATTAAAGTTGAATGAGCGCGAATAGTTGGCCAACAGGGCGTTGCATGATGGGCGGATGGGCGGATGGGCGCTTTTAACCGTTTTTGCTAGCTGTTGCCTCGTAAACTGGGTTGGCATAATTGAAAATTGTACTTTGCATTACATCCGCTATAGTAGTGTATAGAAAATGTGAAAATCCACAATTTTTTTGTTTAGCGTTTTAAAGCAGTGTTCCACTTTCTAGTGTTCTTTATGAAATTAGCTGAATTAGGTTGATTTTATTAAATTTTTTGTTTGTCTTGCTTTGAAGTTATTTCAAGTGGAATCATCAGTTGGTAAATAAGGTTGTGTTCGCGGGTTATTGAATTAAATTTTAATATTTTGGAAAATAATTATAACTGATATACCATTAATATAAAGTTTTGCTCAATTTATACTAACTACTTATAAAATATCCATATGTGAACGATTTATAATTTTCAATTCATAATAAAATTGCATGGTATTTAAACCGTTACATCGAATAATCCCTTCACCTACCCTTGTACAAGGTTACGTTGAAAACAACTGAAGTTGAACTGAAAGAAATTAGTCAGAAAACAAAAATATCATAAAATATCAAATGTCATATATCATATCATAGAGCCTCATAGAAATCAGTGCAAAATTTGTTTAACGAGGGAGGCCCAACGCTCAGTGCTGTGGTGCGGAGCTAGCTTAGTAAAAAAATATAGATAGAAGGTGTGTTAGGAGCAGCACAAGGTTCCTCTTTAGGCTTACAGCCCGTTATAGAAAAAACAGAGCTACTACTGTTGACGAACAAGCACATTGCTCTCGTAATAAGCATGCAAATGACTAAAGCGATTCTAAGGATACAAAAATCTATGCACTACTTAGGCTTAAAGATTAATCCCAGGTCAATCTTTTCGTTACAAATTCAGCACACCGCAGTAAAGGCAGCGAAAGCCACCTCCTATCTTGGCAGAATAATGGCATATAATGGAAGAATGAAAGCCGCGGCAGACGGACGACCAGACTTTTAAGAGACTTAAACTTTTGGACAAGTCACAAATTTGGAGAAATCGACTTCTGCACATGCCTATACAATGACAGAACAGAAGACGATGCTGAATATACAATCTTTAAATGTGTGCGATGGTAACGAGCAGGCACCGCCATAGCAGTTCTGGTTGGTCCAATAAATGTGGACAACTTAATTGGTGTCATCGCTGGAGAGCGAAAAAAACTAGCGGATTATTCAGAAATAAGCAGCAATTTTGCTACGTCGAAAAAATGGAGACTGGATGAAATTGTGCATTTGTTAATTCTCAATGAGAAAAATAGAAGGCCACCCTGATGTAATGCAAACAAGGTTTCAAGGTGGGCGATGGTTCCTTAGAGGAGAGCCTTTAATGACCCGCAAGTGACACATACCGTTGCTGTGACGACAGCTCTGATTGGCGAAAATCATTTGTCACCCCCTCACCCGCAAAAAAACAAAAAATAAAATAAGCTAAAGTGGTCCGATACCAGCGATTCCGATTGTCCGTTTCCACGACAGTCGGGTCTACGAAAACCGGAACGGACCCGGATTTTTATCCGGCCAAGGACTGTCAACTCGGCAGAATTTCTGCCGTTACAACAACAACAACAACATTCCAAGAAACAAGCAGCTTATTGAGTGAATGTAACGTACTAAGGACAACAACCTTCCACGACCCTAAGATATTGAGTATGAAAATATTACTGCTTGAATGTATATCCAAAAAGCGGCATGTTTTCCGAGTATAATGTATGCAGGTACAAAAAATAAATAAGAACGGTTCAGTATTTGCTATAATACCCATATATCCACAAAAATAAAAGGATTTTCAAACATCCTAAGCCTATCTCATATATATTATACATATCAGCTAATATTAGGTTGTCTAAAAAGTCTTGCGGTATTTTCGCTAGTTGGCACTGAGAGCGCGTAGTTCTAGTTTTATACGCCGCATCGGGTCATGCTATACCTTTTTGGAAAGCTCATTTCACGCACTAACACCTGTTTGATTGGTTGACGTTTCTTTTAAGTCATTCATGAGTTATAGCGTCGCAAACATGGAGCAGAATAAAAAGAAAATACGGCATATTTTACAGTACTACTACGATAAAGGCAAAAATGCATCTCAAGCCG